TTTTCTACATTTAAAAATATAATTTATAATAAATATAAAACAAAAATTGTTATCATTTTTTGTAAACTTTTTAAACCAAACATTTAGTTTTATTGCATTTACATCCCATAAAATTTCTATAAAAAGTTTCATTTTCCTATAAGGTAATATGTAAACGTTGCAACTTATTTACAAAATTTATTACAATACATAAATATAATCACAATATTAACAATAATAATTTTTTATTATGATATTATTTTAAAACATCAGCTGTTTTAAAACACTGTAAAATAAAAAAGTTTGCTATACTTATAATCTTTTAAACTGTAAGACTAACTGTAAGGCTAACTGTAAGGCTTACAGTTTATAGCAAATTGTACAGATGCAATGGATTCGTTGTATAAAATATTAAAATATGTATAGCATTTGTAGAAATTAGATGATATTTTGTATTATATATGATAGGAAAATGTATACAGTAAATAATATAAAATTATTCTAAAATAAATAAAGCACTATTTGATATTATACTGTACCGTACAATATTAGTCTTAACGTTATAGCAACAACTGAGCACACATTTCATCGATCAAGTTGAACTGTAGTCAGTTTGATTGAGTCTAAATTAAATCATATAATATTAAAACTAATTTCTTTTATATTGAAAGAGTTTATTCTTGGGAAACATTGGACACAATTGTAGCCCATATTACATTTGGTGCTCTAATATAGGCTACGAATAGTCGACAACTGGTATCAACTGGTGATAGAAAATTGGATTCATTGAGAGAGGAATCTGAAGGGAGAGTAGATTTGAGATTACTTTTAATATAATGCACTCATAAATCATCGCTCGTTTGAAAGCAATACACAGTTGGAAATCATTGGAAAGATATTAAAATCTGATTTCATATTAAAATAGAAGAGGAAAGGGAGAGCAGGAGAACCACTCTTTTGACTTTTTTGATCACATTCTCTATTATATGATCCATATCTGACACCCAGAGGAATATAATCTTATTTTGGTTTAATACTTTATTTGATCCAATAATTAAAGTGTTCACTTAGAAGCCATTGAATTATCTTCTGTTGGATACAAAGTGTGGTCAAAACAAATAGATACCATCACTGATAGGGATTAGTGAGACCTCAGGCATCAGTAACACGTGCAGTGAGACAGCACTGGGAGGGATAGGAGGGATGGGAGGGATAGGAGGACTGGAGAGATGGAAATAATTGAATACATGATTGTGTGGGCTTTGAGTCATAGGAGTGACAGACCGTCAAAGCGTTTGACAGTAAATCCATTGACTAAAGAGAGGCAATAGTGACACCAAATGCAAGCATTTGTGACACAAGTAATAACATTAGGGAATAGGTCTCAAACTCGGAGCCCTCACTCATATGCAGTCACCGCACGCTTTCATTCATCTCTTTCTCTATTATATTCTGCGATCCATTCAATGCATTGGAAATTACTTTTGCAATACTAGACGAGACACACAAGTGAGGGGACAGACAGGAGGGCCATAGAGTCCACCAGCCAAGGGCTCCCCTCTTTACACATGGATTACTCTGTTTTTGTATAAATCAATAAATCACTAGAAAGTGGACAACATTTCAATGCAAACACATTACAAACTATTTACACTATTTATGCAAATTCTTTAATAATGTTTTGATAGCCCTTAACCCCCAATGGGCCCCACCATCGCATGTACTGTCAAACTGTTGACCGGCTCTACAGTGCAGGGAATGGCAACTCATTTGTCACATGAGATGACAGCTAAGAGCAAACATTGGATTCAATGGATTAGTGTTTGCATTGCGGACACCAATCAAGCGATTAATGAACTTATCATCAAAAACTGTGAATCCATTCATTCACAGACATTGCAAGATTGCACTCATTTTACTATTTCTATTGCCTTTAATAATTATTTTGATCACTTAATGAGCAAAAAAAAGTCATAAAATACATGAAATGTAAGATTAAAGACCTTTACTGTAATTTCAGAGTTGAAAATGTGGTGAACAAGTGATTACTATTTTAAGACATACCTCTTCTGCTAGTTTGTGATAATCTTACAGAAGTTGAGACAATATGTGACACATTAGTTCATAATTTGTGGCCAAATGAACGGATCCAATGATTCATACATTTGTATTAGGGATCAGTTGAGACAATATTTCAAATATTGAAGGAATCATATGAATAGCATAGAAGAGTTGAGTTTGATATTCAGTACACTATAATAGGTTTACATTGGATTGCATTCACCACTCATTTGACAGCAATTATTGATGAAGTTTTTGAAGTGAACGCAAATGAGTGCATGTCATGAATGCATTGAATCACACCATCATTCATAGCAATTGATGTGATTTTCATGACTCGTGAGGAAACTGAGTGATCATCACATTCACCACAACTCATGTCTGTGTTTGTGTGAAGACGACACCTAACGAGACACACATTCACTGCCATTCCCTCACTATTTCACACTATTGCACACCAATGCACCAAATATACAGAATATGCACACATAGGCCACACATACAATATTCTCTAACAAGTACAGTACAGTATTAAGATATACTGTACAGTACACTGGACCATTACCATTCACTACAATGCCATCAAGTCGCACCTTATACCGGCATTATATTAATAGCATTTGTTGTATGATAGCAAAGTATCATGGTACATGTGAATTATACATTTAAACGTATTTAGCATAGAAAAAAATATAACACTTATTATATTCATACATAATATACAGTAACTGTTCTCAAAGAATATTCTCAAACAAGTGAACATAACATAACTGTTTTACTTTCAAACTGTACATCGTTTTAATCAAGACTTTATACAAATTTTATATTCAATAACATATAATTTGATATACATTTAAGATATTACATTGGTTAATTAGTTTAATTAACAGATTATGATTCTGTTCTTAAGTACAGAATATTATAATTATGTCAATTCACATAGTCTATATATCATTGATGCAGTAATTATTAATACATTCAATGTTTTACAAAATAAGTTATTAGTTTGAACGACAAATTTAAATAACTAATTCTGTACTCAATTTGCATAATACTAATATTGTGATGAATATCAATCACTAAATTGTAGTCAAATCGTATGAATTAAATGGACAGTTAAAGGGAGCCCAAAATGATTGGAAAAGTGAACGTCTTTTGTGTTGAATGTTGTGAGTGAGGCCTGTATTGAGTGAATGGACAGTGAGTTGACTGCAAAGTGAACATTGAATACAATTGTCTGAATTGTACCGTAATTTACATTCAATTCATTATATGAGACATCAGTCGCTGGTTTGCATGCAATGAGTGCCGAGACTATAGTGCGAGACATCTTCGGCGACAGCGATGACAGTGAAGACGAGTTTGAAGTTTGTGAACAAATATGACTCAATCTTATGAGTGACTCATCCTTTGATTTGATTTGGTGTTCAGGGCTTTGAAGGCAACAAACCATCCGCTGATAAACGAGAAGATGATTCCGATGTGGAGAAGGACTCGCAATCAGATGGCAATGAAGACAACGATGTCGACAGATCTCAAGGCGATGAGAGAGCCAATGAAGACAATGAGGACAATGACAGCGAAGAGAGACAGCAGAGGGAGACCAGAAGGACTCGCAATCAGATGGCAATGAAGACAACGATGTCGACAGATCTCAAGGCGATGAGAGAGCCAATGAAGACAATGAGGACAATGAGGACAATGACAGCGAAGATAGACAGCAGAGGGAGACCAGAGATGACGACGACGAGCCCAATAACTCTCAAGAAGTGGTTCCCGACGTGTCATCTGATGACGAGTCCATAGACGGCGACCGCAAACCAAAACAGTATTTATTGAATATTTGATTATTAATTATATTTGAGTTTTAATTGAATGATGGGTTCATTAGAGACGATATGGTCTATGACTTCGATCTAATGCTTCAGAGGAAACGGGAAGAGAATTATAGGCGAAGGAGACGGAAGAATATCGATATAATCAACGATAACGACGATGTGATCGCAGAAATGATACAACAGATGAAACAGGCGGCAGATGTGAGACATAGTATATAACAATCATTTGCTGTCCATTGCATTGATTACTGTATTTTTGACATTTAGGACGACTTCGAGTTAAATAAGAACCGAATGACTGCCACAAGAAAACTCAAAATGTTGTCATTAGTTGTGACACAACTTCGAAAACTAGATTTACGCGAAGCCTTCTTAGACGCCGGAGTTCTCGGAGTGATCACCGATTGGTTGACACGATTGCCAGATGGAAGTCTACCACATCTCCAGATTCGCGATAATATGCTAAAGATTTTACAAGAAGTTCGTGATTGATACTCGCTTTAAGATGAATGTGATTATCATATAATGCATTGCAGTTCAACATCGATGACGTCGAGCGGATCAAAGCGAGTGGTATCGGGAAAGCAGTGATGTATTTATTCAAACACCCGAAGGAGACCAAAGAGAATAAGCGGATGGCGTCGCAGTTGATCGCGAGCTGGTCCCGACCCATCTTCAACCTCGACACTGACTTCCATTCCATTAGTAAAGACGAGAGAGAGAAGAGAGATGTCGAGCATATGAACAAAACCAAAAGAATGCGTTCCGACTCTCACGACGAGGTGGAGAGTCCAGCGCCGGCTCCCAAACATAAGCCATCCGAAGAGAAGTACCATTTGATGAGATTTTCTAGGAATATATAGACTAAGCGTTCTATTGGTTCACAGAAACCTCATCAAACCGGGCGAGAAGGGTTGGGTACCTCGCGCTCGCGTACCGATGCCCTCGATGAAGGACTATGTGGTACGACCGAAGTCCTCGGTTGATATGGACATCAATAGGGTATGAAGTGTTTGGCACTAATAGAGATTGAATTGTCATTTACTGTATACTCACTGACAATAGAGTGGTTCGAGTAAGAGAATGATGGGTCGAATCGACAAACATTTGAGAAATTTCAGAGAAAAGCAAAAGTTAACGAAAGCCCAAAGAGCTGTTCCAATCAGTATTGAGGGCAGAAAAATGGCACTTTAGTTGTCATTACAGTTAAAAAACGGTTTATTTTGAATTTGATTTTACAAAATGATGCAAATATTCACTATTATTTATACAGTAACATTATGTCTTGTGCTGAACATATAGCATATCTCTGGAGTGAATACCCGCCGACTCCAAAGTGATGACATCGGATTCACTCGCAATGAAATCATTGAGATTTCTTTTGGGAAAATTTGTTATTAAGTCGTAATCATTCATATTATAGCCTTTCGATGAGAGAAATACAAATAATGCCTGAAATTGATTCATTAAATGATTAAATCACTTATCAATAAATTGTTTTCAAAACATTCAAATGAGACAAACCTTTAATTGTGATTCAGAAGGAAATATAATGTTCTCTCGATTTCCATCCGGATATCTGACGACGAGTTCAAATTTGGATCCATTTTCTGGCCCTAAGTATTGTCTGTAGTCTTCAATCACTTGGGCCTCGGGTTTGCTCTCTTGCGAAGCAGTGTCCGAATGACTCGTTTCTTTGGTATTGAGTGGACACGAGTTTGCCATCGCTTTGGATGCAATTGAATGGCTTCTATTGTCTTCGTTGTCGGAGTCGAATGTCTCCAAATCGTCGCTGTCGTCGACGTCGGGGTTGTTGTTAGGGATGGCCTCGCCTTTAGACACCACTTCCTGTAATGAGGCGGCGATTGCGGCCTTTAATTGCATTTCTTCGCTCTCCTCATAGAGCGCCTCATATTTCATATGAAATGTCAGTTTAATGGATATGTGTTTTGATATAATAAATACCTTCTCTGCACTGGATTTACGAGTTAGAGCTGATGCTGGTATGGACTCGATGTTGGCTGACGTTCCCGACGGTGACGGATAGTCGTGAAGGAATTCAGTGACTAAATCACAGAAGGAAACGGGATCTATGGTTGTCCACTGACGCAACTTCTCGCCTGTCAATCAATAACACGTCAAATGAGTGAATCAAACAAAGTGGATGTCGTTTACCAGTCCTGGGGTCCAGAATCGCCACATAAGGAAAGTCGACCACATTGTAAAACTGCATAAACCTCTGGCCCTCACTGTTGTCGTGATATGTCTGGAAAGGGATTCATTATTAGGGATTTAATGAATAGGCACTACATGTTGGCCATAACACTACAATACCTGCCAGAATATGAAGTGTTCGGAGACTATGCTCTTAACGGCGGGATTACTCCAGACATCTCTGTTGAGCACTTGACACGAGAACTCTCTGTGATTCTGTATGTTAACCATAAGCCACTTATTCACTCTCTGGCCCTCGTCTTTGGCCTGTGGGTCGCAAAGCATATCATATATAATCATAACAATCATTGACTGCTTTAAGTGAAAGACTAACGAATTCAAGAGTTCCGCGACATATGAGGTCTAATGGCGGCCGAAAGAGATCTTCAAGTGTTCGCCGTTTGGTAGCGGACGCAGAGTTGGAGGGATTGGTTTCGGTTTCCATCTGCTGTTCGTGCCATCCTTTGGGGGCAAATGAGACAATGGGTGTCATAAGTGGTCCACAAGAGGACTCAATGGGTGATCACATACTGGCCTCCTGTTCGAAGTCACGGAAGGCATCAAACACTGAGTTAGAGTTGGATCGACGCAAATGATTGCTATACGAAGCGCTCGGGTAGTCCTCGACCAACACCTGACGCACCGGAGGAATAGGCGGCCGAACGGTCTCTCTATTGGCGGCAAACATGACCAATGAATGCATTGTGGAAACCATTACTCAAAACCAATACATACTCTGAATTGGCATCAAATCTATTCGTGTGATTAGCGGTGGAGGCGTTCGTGTGGTTTGTGGTGTTTGTGTCCATTTGGCCGTCATTTTGGTCCACAAACATATTGACGGCTAACTCGAGGTTCCAGTTGCAAGACTCCAACGCTGTCCGGGCCATCGACTCGTCCGCACCTGTCATCACATCCGACACAATGAGCCATCAATTGTCTCACTCCACACAAACATGTCTTATATGTCTTATACCAGTAATGCTGCAGAACTGCTCCATGGCGTCAGTCTGCGTGGGGTCACACGTGACCGATGTGTCCATTGCTGTCACTACAAGTGGATCCGATGAGACAATTGGCGGTTGAGTGGTGTGGAGGTTGTGTTGATTGAGTCTTCAGTCAATTCAAACCAAACAGATCTCAAACTTATTGTCTTTTATGGACTCCTTCTGAATGACTAATCATATAAACGAGCGCTCGATTCAAACCATGCATTCAATGCATTCACTGAACCAATCATTTCATGAAACACTACTGTACTGTCAGTACTGTTCATGAACAGTCTGTCCACCAGAATATGTCTGAGAGTGTGATGAATACATGAATTATGAATATTCATTGAATGCCTATTCATGTCATTGAAAGTGCATTTAACTCACAATCTATTTGATAGTAGTTTTGGTTAGACTGTTGAAAGCGATTCATTTGTGCGTTTATACACCTTTTCAAATGATATCAAAATTTCTATTCCTTAAAGAATTGATTGCAACTTATTATCCTTTTATACCCTAAAAAAGTCATAAAAACTTAAATTACAAAACTATTATACCAACTGTCAAATTGTTAGTCAATTTTTCCTTATTATCATACTTTATACAATAAAAAATTATCAAAAAATAGTATAACTAAACCTAAATTACAATTACAACCTGGTGACAATTTGATCATATTTTAATTTTAAATTACATTTCAAAAATAGATTCACTACAATAATTCTGCTATCATTTGTGCACTCAAATAATGCAAATTAATAAAAATTACATAAACTTATATACAGTGTCTCATATAAGTTATAAGTTTAAATATAAAAATCTTGTTATATAAAAGTTGTCTAGCACACTCGGTACAGTACTAAGGTACTCTATGTCTAATCTTGAATAACACTGAATTGTTCATTTAATTC